TATAGATTATGAATTTCTATACTATAGGCTCATAATTTCTATACTATAGATTCATAATTTTTATACTATAGATTCATAATTTTTATACTGTAGATTCATAAAATCTTTACGGTAGATTCATAATTTCTAAACCGTAGATTCATAATTTAAATATAGTAGATTCATGATTTCTATACAGTAGATTCATAATTTCTACACTGCAGATTCATAATATTTGGACTGTAGATTCATAATTTCTTTATTGTTGATTCATAATTTCTAAATTGTATAGTTATCAAATTATGAACATATAGTTATGTGATTTGTGAATACAGAGAACAATGTGCACCATGAAGGGTCGATTACCAACATATAGCTAACCTTGTTAGTCATGCGCTAGCCGGAAGGGTTGATTACCAACATATAGCTAACCTTGTTAGTCATGCGCTAGCCGGAAGGGTCGATTACCAACATATAGCTAACCTTGTTAGTCCCGGAAGGGTCGATTACCAACATATAGCTAACCTTGTTAGTCATGCGCTAGCCGGAATGGTCGATTACCAACATATAGCTAACCTTGTTAGTCATGCGCTAGCCGGAATGGTCGATTACCAACCCCGGCCCCTATCATACCGCCCTTAACCCCTACACATCATACCGTACCATTATGAACACCACACCGCACCGCGCAGGGCCGTTCTAGGCCATGTCGAACTGGCGCGATCGCACAGGGCCCCCAAAAAAATATCATACATATAATCTATTGCTTTTTATACTTGATAATTATTATTATTTTTTTGAATTCATAGATTGGTCTTAATTGTAATATAATTGAAAATAAAACTTTAATGAATTGACTTTGAAATTTTGGTGAATAATTTTATATTTAAATATGAACGAAAATAGAACGATTAAATTAACTTTTGAATTGTATTCTTTCTTTGTTAAAGTATAGGTAAAAGATAAGGTGTAACACTTTAGTACACAAGAGTTGGTGTGGCTTGGTGGATTTAGCTTTGTTTGTTATATTATAAAGGTCTTGGGTTCTATCTTTTGTGGTTGCATTTTTAACCTATTTTATACAATCATTGTCTTGGTTCTTAAAGACAGCACATAAGCAAATTGGTAATATACTAGATGTTGCATTTAAGTATACTAGTGTTGGTGTGGCTTGGTGGGTTTAAATAAACTTAGTTTATTATGTTAGAGGTTTTAGGTTCTATTCTTCTTGGGGGGAATTTTTCAACTATTTTCTAAAATTGTTGTCTTGGTTTTCACAAACAACACAGAAGCAATCAAGTTATATACCAGATGTTGCACCTTTAAACATAAGAGTTTGTGTTGCTTAGTTGGTTAATTCGTTTAATTGTTAAGTTTGAGGTTATAGGTTTGATTCTTGTTGTTAACATCCTTGTTTTTATTTTATATACCAGTTAAATAATGATGCGCAAAGACAACGGTTTTTTGTAGTGTTGTGTATTCAAATACGCTTAAAGACAACATACCAAAGACAACGGTTAAATAAAACCGTTGTCTTAAACAAATAAAGAACGTGCAACGACAACGATTATATAAAACCGTTGTCGTTTTAGTGTTGTGTATTCGAGTGCGCTTAACGACAACACACCAACGACAACGGTTAAATAAAACCGTTGTCTTTTTTTAAAAAAAGAGCGCACAAAGACAACGGTTTTAAACAACCGTTGTCTTTCTAGTGTTGTGTATTCCAGTGCGCTTAAAGACAACACACCAATGATAACAGTTAAAAAAACCGTTGTCTTATTTTAAAAAAAAAAAAAAAAACGCACATAGACAACGGTTTTAAAAAAACCGTTGTCGTTGTGGTGTTGTCTTTTCACAAAATGCACAAAGACAACACACTTATAACAACGGTTAAGTAAAAACCGTTGTCTTTGACAAAAGTGTTGCATCAAAGACAACGGTTTTGGTTCAAACTGTTGTCTTTTATACAAAAGACAACACTTTTCTTAAAAATTGTTGTCTTTCTAGTGTTGTCTATGTGCATTTTTCTTGTAGTGAAAGGATAGAAGAGAAAAAAAAATGGCTGCCAGCATTACTGCTTAAGCCTAATTAAGCCACGTATATATACATATATATTTAATATATTTGCTTATTTGATGGCAGCAAGGAACCAATAAGGCATGGAAATACAACCGAATCAGTTTATTGAAATATTATGGAGTTTTTGTCCATACTTCGGTAACATCTAAGTAAGGGATCGGACCAGAACGGAAAATGACTAGTGGATTCATATCGGTCGAAATTTTGACGGTACTTTGAGGTATTGCTCTTTCATATTTCAATATGATACATATATATTAATGTGATAATGATTACTATGTGCAAATAGTTATTCTGAGCACTAGTTATTTATTTGGACATTGATTATATTCTGTTAAGATTATCATTGTCGGATAATAATTGTGCTAGATGAATTATGTCATGTCTTTAATTGCATTTTATTGATGCTTACATTTTAGAAAGTTGGAACATAAAATATTGTGACAAGCACTTTAAAAATCACCCGTTCATGTATTATATGCTAAGTGCTATGAACATTATGTGACAATTATTTCTTTTGTGTCACAATTTCCTCTCGTATACAATATGGTCCTATAAATCATCATGAGATAAAAGGTGGCATAATAAGTATTTGCTATAAATGATGAATTTATCTCATATATTATAAATGAAAGTTATTTTGATATGCTTATCAAAATCATGGGATAAATATAAATAGTTATGCTTATGTTGGTATATGCTATTTTCAAATATCATATGGATTTGACGTGAGTCATGATTTTTCATGTGATGCCTATTTTGAAAGGCTATATGCTTGAAAGAAGCAAATGAATACATCATCACTCTTGATTGAATTCAAGAAAAATGAGAAACATGTATGTGTTGTGGATAATGTGACAACACATACAATTGATGTGTAAATTATTTATGCACATTGAAAAGAATGATGAATTCGTTACTACAAAATTTGGTAGTACAAAAATAATTGAGCTCCGGTAGAGCCAATATATTATTGCCTGGAGGAACAAAATTTATAATGCATTGAAAATTGAAATGCATTGTTCTCTCCGAAGTCTCATAGAAATTTGTGTTCGTAGTGACGAATATCATGTTGAGACTATAAAAGGAAAGGAATAAAAAAATTCCTTTAAAAGGCAATATCAGGGAAGAAATGTGTATTAGAAAATTCCATGTTTTCCTCATGTTTATGTTGCACAAAAATAAGTGCAATTGAAGTCAATCTTATAGTAAACTAAAAAGTTTACTGAATTGAATAATTTTAAGATTTGGCACAATCGATTAGATCATCCTGGTTATATGATCATAATGATGATGACGATTTCTCACAAATTAAGAAAATGGATTTTAGAAATCATGAAAGATCTCACCATCCACAATTTATTTGGCATTTAATGTCTATATGATTATTTGAGTAAGCATTATAATACATATAAGAATATATATATGCATTACCAACTAAATTGTTTGGCCTTTGGTAATATGACTGGCAAATTACTAAATAATCTTTGATGGCCATAGAGTCACTTTAATCGGATTTAATTGCTTTAGTTGTTATTAAAGCTATTTTGGCAATTTATGAGTCAATGTAGAATTGTATATGCCTGAATTTTAATTCCACTTTGGTTTGCCAAATTTGTGCTCTTAAATTATGTATATGCTTTGTTAATTTGATCATATACATTATATGATTGCATATACATTTGAGCACTTGATATGTGACGATTGGTTCATTTTGGACCAAATATTGATAAGTCAGATTTGAAATGCTATTATTGAACATAGTATATATATGTCAAACAGTAGTCTCCCTTATGAAGCATGTGTAAATGAAAATTTCAAAATTATATATTGGGAGATCTAATTTGATATACTACTATTTTTATCAAAATATGACATACTGCATATCTTGAATATGACCTCCTTACATCTAGTACGTGGTAAAATTGAACATTTCACAAAATCTGTGTTTTATTAATATGCAATCTATTTATCATCACATCATTATTGCGTATCTTTACGGGTTATCAAATAAAATTAGGTATACATGTTGATTATAAATACCTAGAGTCTATTAAATGAGGATCAGTAGATACACTGATTGCATAATTTATGAAGATCACTTCACGGCATTAGGGGGAGATATGACCCCAAAATTATTTTGAGGATTTGAAAATTTGAATGCCGTGAAATTTCATGATATGAAAGGATCTTCAAAAATCCACATACTAGATTAACTGAACTGAAGGTTCAGTAGATTTTTAATATCAAGCAAATGCAATGATTTTACTGTAAGCAAATATAATCTTGCTATGCTCAAAATTAGCTCTCAGTTGTTGTTATTACTTGTTACTGATGAGGATATGCTTGAAAAATTTCATGCATCAAATATTGTGTTACAACAGCAACATAGAGAGAAAAGGTTTTACCAAATACTCTCAATTGATTTCATGCCTTCTAGTGGCTGAACAAAAAATGATCTGCTGTTGAAAAACCACGAGGCACGCCCTACTGGGTCAATCCCATTCCCCGAAGTGAATAAGGCATTGTATTATAGTGAAAATACAAAGGGTTGTAGCCGTGGTCACGGTCATAAAAGATACCGTGGTAAAAATTCTGGTCGTGGTCAAAATTGTTATGGTGGTTATAACTTCAAAAGTAAAAGTTACCATCGAAAATGCTAGTACACGACGAGGAAAAGCGTGAAAATTATCCCAAAACGAAAGTATATATGACAAAATTGACCATTGGGAACACGCTATCTGCCAAATATATATCGATTGATATATATGTTGATTAATTATGTCTTGAAGAGACATTCGTCTAAAAAGACGAAATACAGTGGTGCACCAAAGAATTATAATACTGGGATGCGGAACGACCAGATCTGAATATGGGAAAAATAACCATAATCTGGTTGATTTTAAAAGAAATTGCCATGAATTATTATGGATATGGCCATATGGGAGAAAATTATGAAAATGTTATCGACAACACAATTGCCTCAATAATTGCTCAATCTGGATCCAGAGCTTGGCACAAAATGTGCCTTGAAAATCTGATATATAAAAGAGCAATTAAGGCATAGCTCAGCTCGCTATTCTCTAAATTATGTACACACCATTGAATAGGTGTTGGTACGAAAGAGAATAATGATATGATAAAAGGCGAGGCTTGGAGCTTATGGATTTACAAAGGTACCCATAATTGATATGATATACTCTCCCAAAATGGATGGCAATAAGTTCCGCTGATTAATATCATTGGCAGTGCATAAATATGCAGTTGAGAAAAGTCATGACCACTTGGGTCATTGGATAAAATATGACAAATGTCATGACCAAATGATAATGAGTCATTGGACAATATATTTGAAAATCCGGAATGGATTTGAAAGTTCTTAAAATGAGAAAAATGCGAAAATCGCAACATGAAAAGTATTATGGTCTTTATATGACCTGAAATATTGATGGTGTGAACATCAATGAAATACATAAAGAGCTTAATGATGTTAGCTCATGTCTAAAGACGGGGATATTGAAATGAAAAGCTTGAAAAAATAAGCATTATCTCGACTTGAAGATCGAGTATTTCCTTAAAGGGAATCCATACACCAGTTAGCCAAAATATGATTTTGATTGGCTATTTAGACAAGCCAATAATAATGGGCTACTTGGGTACTGGCTAATATTATCCCAATGAATGCCAAAGTACCAAAACTGGGTGTATTATATCTTTCCCTCATTGTTCTATAAGGGGACAATAAAGATTGTGTTGCACCAATGAGAAATGGGTATTTATGAGAAATTTTGGCTAGACATAAAGATGTCAATATTATATCCATGTGAGCTCTAAAAGAGTCACGAGATCATTATAATATATTTATCCCAGTGATAGTTGAACATGTTTGTTCACAAAACCCCTCTTCTATATTTTGGAAGTTTATAAGGGATTTAAAGAATACTATCTTCAGGGGGAGTATAATGATCATGAATATTATGCCCTGAAGTTTATGTTGGGGTTATGGTTGTACTCTTTTTTCCTTTAGCTAAGTTTAATTTTTTCCCACTGGGTTTTCTTAGCCTAAGGTTTTTAATGAGGCAACCGGTGCAACACATAATTGAACATACATCATGTACTCTTTTTCCCTTGACTAGGTTTTTCCCACAGGGTTTTTCTAGTGAGATTTTTAACGAGGCATGAGTATGAAGACAATACGATATGTATTGTCCAATTGGAGAAATGATACGTTATGAGAGATGGAATAGAAGTAAAGAAGATGGAACATAACACACTTCTTCAGTGTTATCATTATCAGGGGGAGCAGATTATTGTACTATTTTCCTTTAACCAAAAGTTTTTTTCCATTGGGTTTTTCTTTGGTAAAGGTTTTTAATGAGGCAATAAAATGTTCTCTTTTGGACATCCAAGGGGGAGTGTTATGAAATAAAGCAAAATAAATGTGGATGTCCAAGTTGAGATTCAAACTCAAGACCACCATTATATAGAAATTAAGTTTCTTACCACCAAGCTATCAACACTTTCATATCATGACATACATGCAGTGAGTATTGAACTAAATGTTCAATATGATCAGATTCCAAGTTCTAAAGAAAAGAGTTGACTCATGATGATTCATGAGGTAGAAATCGAACACGTGTCCTCAACATACCACAAAGGTACATAGTCACTAGGTCTACCAATTAGGCTAACTTTGCTTTGTGTACACCCTATGCAAAGAATGTATTTGTTTATTCCCCCTCACTTTTTGTAACTCACAGACGAATGATTAATATAGCTCCATCTCTTCCTCCTCCAGCTTCATTATGTTGTTCTTCTTATTGCTATTATCATCATCATTATTATTGTTATTATTATCATTAAATTCATAACAATATTTAAATATATTATAATTGAAAGCTGACATGCCGTGCAAATTATTCTGTGGACCTGGGTCCACCTTGCAAGGTGGATCCGGATCCAAATATTCACAATTTATCTTTTAAAATTTACAATTTGTATACTACGAACACATAATGTTAATATATATGTAATTGATTACCTTGTTTTTGTATTCACAAGTTCCTTTCAAATACTGCAGTCACACAATATTAACATATTAAAATTTCACAAATTTCCTTCTACAGTTGTTATGTGTTTTGACTTAGAAACACAACTTATATTTTAGAAGTTCACAATTCTAATACTAAAAATACACAATTTATACATCGTTTAAGACCAGAGTCCACCTATTCCATGATATAACAACAATCATTATTACATGAACTATGGTCTACACAATTGTGTGGACCATAAATAAAAAATACATTTTTAATATACTAAGAGTACACACATTAAAAATATACTTTTAATATATTAAAAATGTACCTGATAGTCATGGTTCATACAATAATAATTTGTCGTATAACATGCAGTGTCACCACTATTTAAAAAAAAAATGGATATTACAGAGTCACGGCCCATTGGAGAAATGAGAGAATGTAGGCCCGAAATCCTATCAAAAGAACGCGATTCTGTTCCCAAACAATCGTTATATCCTACACCACGGCGCACATAGCACTGTGCGCCGCGCGCCTCCCAAAACGACGTCGTTTTGGGATAGTGTTGGGAGGCGCGGTAGGAAGTTGCTGAGATTATGTGTATTTGTTTACAACGTTATGTGTATTTGTTCACAACGTTATGTGTATTGGTTCATACAGTTATGTGTATTTTTTATACAATTATGTACATTCTTTTTATACAATTATGTACATCCGAATCAGAAAATTTGTGTGTATTATGTTAAGAGTTGATGTGTATTATGTTAAAAGTTTATGTTTATTATGTATTATGTTAGATTATGTGTATTATCTTTTAAAAAGAGTATGTATATTTTGTTATATAATTATGTATATTCATGTATAACATTATGTGTATTCTAGTATAACATTATGTACATTCTTGAACAGCGGGTTTTTTTTTAAAGAAAAAAACTACTGCCATTCATTGGGGCGAGAAATTTCAAAAAAAAAAAAAATTAAAACGACGTCGTTTTGCATCGGTGCATAATGCAACGCGCGCCGTGGTGTAGGATATAAATTGCCGTTCCCAAATACGAGTCGAATTGGGTCATCCAGTTGGCGGTTAGGGTGTCAGACTTCTCCGCTCTCATTTTCACGTTGGAAGAATTGAAAGCAGTGCATAGTTAGTGGTTTCCTCTCCAATTCGAATTTCTCTTCCCCGCCGCAATCTCTCAAGCCCTAAACCTACCCCCAATTCAATTCATCAGCCTCTGCATGCTATAGAGCATCGAATGACTTCTTGCTCTTTCAATGTCCCGGCTGCCGGCTAGTACCTCAAAGACCTCACAAATGGATCGTTGATCAAGGACATTGAAGACGCTGATCGAAGAGGATGTGAATTACGGTAAATGACGAGTTTTGCAGCTTTTTATTTGCTTCATTGCATATATTTTTGTTTACTCTTCAAAATTTACAATTATTATTTGTGAGTGTGTACACTGTATATCTGATTTTGTGACTTTAATCGCAAAGGTCAGAAGGTAAAATAGCTTCTGTTGCTACTTCAAACTAAGAAGCTCAATATATGAACTTGTAATTTTATGATTATTAAATTAAACTGGAGTTATGTTTGGTCTCATATTTCTTTGTCCGTCAAGATCAAATGTAATACTATACTAATAATGAATAAAATGTTTATTACTTATATGAAAAAAGTGTAATATATTTTAAAAAACAGTATAATTCTTTTATATTTTAATTTAAAAGTATATTTTTACATCAAAATGTAAAAAATATTATATTTGTTCTCAAAAGTGATATAAGTAACAAACATTTTATTCCTAATTAGTATTACATTTTTCAATATAAATATTAAAATTTTCATATTAACACGTTTATCGGTGAGACGTTTTCAACAAATGTGACCCTTAATATGAGTATTTCATGGTGGAGATATTATCAACAACATAGTATACTATTATTCTAGAGTAATATTGTAAAACTCTCACTCTTAATCTAGTGTGCTTTTACACTCAATTAATTTTAACATTTCATGCTGTTATAGTTTTATTAATTGTCGTACTATAGTTTTAAAGCCACACTCTAGTCGAATTTATGTAGGATTTATCAATTTTTATGGAGATAACACTAACCAAGTTAATCAGATGCTGACTTAGTTAAGGGTGTGCATTAGATTAGTCGGACTTAGTTAGGGGTGTGCATTCGGTTAAGTATAAATAATAGTTAACCAATGAATATATATATATATATATATATATATATATATATATATATATATATATATATATATATATATATATATATATAGAGGAGTGATCACATGTGGCCATGTTGTTAGGTGTGGTCATATGGTCAATTATAGGCCATTAGATTAGATAGATCCAATGAATCATATTAATCAAGATTTTTTTAGTATTTTCGTGCACATTCTCCTACCCAGCGAACTGCAAGGGTAAACTCGTCATAAAACACCAGAATATTAATCAAGATTTTCTTGTGTGTTTTATTACACTATTGGTGCATGTTGTCAACACTGTTGGTGTATTCTGTAACCCGGCCGCTATAAATGGCCATTGTAATTACCATAACACGGGAATACACCATTGGTGTGCTTCACTGTGGTGTGTTTTATTACACTATTGGTGTATGTTGTCAACACTGTTGGTGTATTCTGGAACCCGCCCGCTATAAATGACCACTATAATTACCATAACACCCCCACTTACCAAAACACGCGAAAATCCTCAGAATTATCACTGCCGTTAGATTAAACTGATTCAACGACACAGATATGACCACACGACCACACCTAATGACATGACCACATATGAGCGCTCTTCTATATATATATATATATATATATATATATATATATATATATATATATATATATATATATATATATATATATATATATATATACCATTCTAATAAGAGCGAATAATGTTAGGCCCTTAACTGGAATAAAAAAAATGTCGGTACTAATTGTTTCTTAAAATGAATGGTTCATATCATTTTGATTTTAGTATTTTTAATGATTTTTCTTATTTACCCTTTATTATATTATTTTCTTTCCTTAAATAACCTTACATTCCCTTAGTATAAACTTTATTAACGGAATATTCCGTTCACTATTTATTATTCTTAACTTACTTATTGATTTTCTATAAGAAATGTCTTAAGTTCGAACCTCATTACAATTAGAGTTAACATAATTGTTAAACATATACTACGAATATGTTAAAATGTATTAAAAATATAA